TGTACGATGATAACCGTTCTACTTTGATTTATGATCTCTGCGACAACTTCAACATGACAATCCTTAACAATGGAGAAGTAACACGTTTGGCTGGTCCATCCTCGAATGGTAGCAGATTAGACCTCACCTTTTGCTCCAATTCACTATCGTTGGATTGCACTTGGCATGTAATCCAGGATCCGCACGGTAGTGATCATCTGCCGATCAAAATTTCGATTGCCAGTGGGTTCAACTCGTCAGAATCCGTTAACGTCGCGTATGATCTAACCCGTAACATCGATTGGACTAAGTTCCAATCCGCGATAGACGATACAGCATCGTCAGTGGAAGAGCTTCCGCCGTTGGAGGAATATAATTTCCTCTCTAATCTCATCGTCGACAGCGCACTTCAAGCTCAAACACGACCGGTGCCGCGATCGTCTATTCGTAAGAAAACACCATCGCTCTGGTGGGATCAACAATGCACGGAGGTTTACCGTAAAAAGTCCGACGCGTTTAAACTTTTTCGGAAACGCGGAACACGCGAGCATTTCAACGCATACACATCTCTTGAATGCGAACTCAAGAGCCTCATCAAGGCCAAAAAACGGGGTTACTGGCGGCAGTTTGTAGACGGATTGTCGCGCGAAACGTCTATGAATACGCTTTGGAGTACGGCGCGAAGAATGCGTAACCGGTCTACTAACAACGAAAGCGAGGAATGCTCGGATCAATGGATTCTTAAATTCGCGCGAAAAGTGTGTCCGGATTCCGTGCCGTCGCAGTTGATTCCTCGCGAAACCGCGAATTCGGTACACGAAATCAGTCAGCCTTTTTCAATGGTCGAACTTTCACTCGCTCTCCTTTCGTGTGGTAATTCTGCCCCGGGATCTGATAGAATCAAGTTCAACTTGCTGAAAAACCTCCCAGACGTCGCTAAGAGGCGCATGTTGAACTTGTACAATCAGTTCTTGGAGCTCAATATTGTTCCCGACGATTGGAGACGAGTAAGGGTGATAGCCATTAAAAAGCCTGATAAACCCGCGTCGGATCACAATTCGTATCGGCCCATCGCGATGCTGTCGTGTATTCGGAAATTGATGGAGAAAATGATCCTTTTTCGCCTCGACAAATGGGTTGAGACGAACCACCTTCTTTCAGATACTCAATTTGGTTTCCGTAGGGGTAAGGGAACGAACGACTGTCTCGCGTTGCTTTCCTCGGAAATTCAGTTGGCTTTTGCTAAGAAAGAGCAAATGGCTTCTGTGTGCTTGGATATCAAGGGGGCTTTTGATTCAGTATCCGTTGAAGTTCTTTCAGAGAAACTCCACGCTTGTGGATTGTCTCCATTAATGAATAATTTTTTGTACAATTTGCTGTCAGAAAAACATATGAGCTTTTCTCATGGAAACTCTACAGCTTTTCGATTTAGCTACATGGGTCTCCCCCAAGGCTCATGTTTAAGCCCCCTTTTGTACAATTTCTACGTTAGAGAAATTGATGTCTGTCTTAGTGACAATTGCACGTTGAGACAACTTGCAGATGACGGCGTAGTGTCTATCACAGGGCCAAAAGAGGTTGACCTGCAAGGACCCTTACAGGATACCTTGGACAATTTGTCTACTTGGGCTATTCAGCTAGGTATCGAATTCTCCACGGAGAAAACTGAGTTGGTCGTTTTTTCTAGGAAGCATAGCCCAGCACAACCGAAGCTTCAACTTTTGGGTAAACCGATCACTCATTCCATGTCTTTTAAATATCTCGGGGTCTGGTTCGATTCCAAATGCACCTGGAGATCCCACATTGAGTATCTGAGACGAAAATGCCAACTAAGGATCAATTTCCTTCGATCAATTACCGGAACGTGGTGGGGAGCCCATCCACAAGATCTTCTGACGTTGTACCGGACAACGATTTTATCGGTTTTAGAGTACGGTAGTTTTTGCTTCCAGTCGGCAGCTAAAACGCACATCATCAAGCTGGAACGGATCCAGTATCGTTGTCTTCGTATCGCGTTAGGATGCATGCACTCGACTCATACTATGAGTCTCGAAGTGCTGGCGGGCATGTTGCCACTATCCGTCCGTTTTTCAGAGTTATCTCTTAGGCTCCTCACCCGTTGCGAAGTAATGAACCCACTGGTGATTGCAAATTTTGAGAAGCTTCTGGAGCTAAATCCTCAAACATGTTTTATGACTTTGTACTACCTATATTTAACACAGGATGTCAGCCCTTCAAGAAATATTCCCAATCGTGTAGTCTTCTCCGATTTCGGCAATTCAGTGAATTTTGATTTATCTATGACGCAGGAAATCCGCGGAATTCCAGAGCATCATCGTCCTATGATTGCTCCGTCATTATACGCTGCAAAGTTTGGCCATGTTGATTCTGCAAGAACGTTTTTCACAGATGGATCTCTAATAGAGGAGTCCGCTGGTTTTGGTGTATTTAATGCATTTCATAGCGCCTCTCGAAAACTTGAAGCTCCTTGTTCTGTGTATGTGGCTGAACTGGCAGCAATTCACTACACCTTGGAAACTATTGCTTCACTTCTTCCAGACCACTACTTTATTTTTACGGATAGTCTCAGTTCTGTCGAGGCTATCCGTTCCATTAGGCCGGTAAAGCACTTCTCGTATTTTCTCTTGAAAATACGAGAACTGCTTAGTACTTTATCCGTGCGCTCTTTCATCATCACCTTCGCGTGGGTCCCTTCGCATTGCTCAATTTTGGGCAATGAGAAGGCGGATTCACTTGCGAAGGTGGGCGCTATGGAAGGCGACATTTATGATCGACAGATCGCCTATAGTGAATTTTTCTCTATTTATCGTCAGCAGTCGCTCGTTAGCTGGCAACATCAATGGAGTGAAGGGAGCTTGGGACGATGGCTACATTCAATTATCCCTAAGGTGTCGAAGTTTGCATGGTTCAAAGGGTTGGACTTGAGTCGAGACTTCATACGCGTGATGTCTCGTCTCATGTCCAATCACTATTGTCTAAACGCTCACTTGTTCCGTGTGGGGTTAGGAGACAGCAATCTCTGTGAATGTGGACAAGGTTACCAGGACGCTGATCACATCCTTTGGTCTTGTGCGGAGTATCGTGAAGTCAGATCACATTTTTATGATTCCCTTCGGGCTCGAGGTAGACAACCTAATGTTCCAGTTCGGGATATTTTGGCTAGACGCGATCTGGAGTTTATGAAACTCATATATGTTTACTTTAAGGATATTAACCTTAGATTGTAAGTTTGATTAACCTTGTGCTTAGTTTGTATTTTGTACGTGTGGGTTTTTTTTTTTCAATGTTTGTTTTCAAGATGAATAGAAATAATTTCATGCTTTAGGATTAATTAAATAGTTGTATCGTAAACCACATTTCAAACCAACTTCTTCCCTTTTCCCATCCAAAAAATTGTAAATCTCCACTAACCTCGAGACAACCGCGAGTACTCGGTCCAGTTCCTTTAACTTTAAATTTAAGACAGTAATAATGTATAACGCAAAGGATAACTCGGCTCTGTAAAGTTTATTCGATTGAGCCTGTACAAATAAAGTAATTATAAAAAAAAAAAAAAAAATGCTCTGTTCCACCCAGGGGGTAAGTCACTCTGCCACCTTGTGTCTGTGCTTACTGTGTTTAATGTGTGTTTTTGAATGCCGGAAGGTGTTTCTGGGTGTTTCATCGTGATGACCGAGCTGTCAAAACAACAACCGAAAAAATATACTTTCTGGCAACCGTATCCTCAATCATAACATAACGATGAAAATGACAGAGCCCCCTGCGACTCCTTTGCTGTTATTTGTTTAATAAAAAAGCAAAACCGACGGGAAGGTTATTTGGAGCTAATACGACCGCAGCTCGGCTCTCAGAGTGAGACAGGCCCTGCCGCTACAGGAGGAAGACGAATGGCCACGTGCAACTCGGGAACATGGGCCAAGCAATCCGTTGCGTTTGTCTTGGTTTTCTTGCGAGACATTTCCGGAGAACTTTGAGATTTGGGCGTAATTGATTTTGTAAACAAACACGTCAATCGCCCATTTCTCGCGGATTTATCATTTTTAGTATCTGTTCCTCCTGGTACCGCTGCTTTCGTGGATCCCAACCGGGTTCGGATTTCCCCTGGGATTTCCTTTTCTTTGGATTTCAATCCAGATCCAAGATGTTTTTCTTTCCCGGCAGGATGGTACGACGGTTTTTTTGGTCGTTTTTTTTTCTCAACAACAAAATAACATAAAACAATAAACATTTTGCTTATCATGCGACGTAATGGTGTTTGTGGGTGTTTTAAGCGTGTCGCAGTGTGTTTTTGTGAGTGTTAACACAATGTGGCAGAGTGACTTACCCCTTCTATGTAATACAAAAACACCCATCCAAATTTACTTTCATTTGTTTAAGATAATCATAGGTAAAAAATTGTCCAATGTACAGTTTGAAATGATGGGTACATGATTGTTACTTCGGACACTCGGACTGCCCAACATGATTGGTACTCATTTTCTAAAGGCAGGGCCAATCTAATGTTAGGTACTCTACTGTGAAATCTGTGAAAGGGAATCTAGTATCATGTAGAGAAAACGTCCAATGTAACACTCATTGATAATGTCATTGAGAAAAATCGTCCAATGTAACATGTCCGATGTACAATTATTATTTTACCGTTTGTACTGAATTTTCAACGTTTTGATTCACTGACTATATTAAAAATAGTATTGCAACATGTATTGTTTCTAAACAGTTAAAATAATAATCTGTCGAACTTCAACTTCGATTTTCTCAAAATGGTGGATATGTTACATTGGTCAAAATGAGCGAGAATGATGCACATTTCCATGCAAATCGGAGAAGGTTGAGTCCGATTTTTTTTTTTTTGCTATTTGGCCTGGAAATCCTCTGCTGCCATTAATCTACCCATCCGCCAACCCAAACCCAAGCCGAACACCAACACGATCGCTGGTAAACAAATAATCGTTCGCCGGCTTTCGGAAGATCGCACCATCGAGTCGAGAGTTAAAAACCACTTGCCGAGCGGAACGAGTTTTCAGTTCTCCGGATACAATGTTCGCGAGTGGTCACGCGAGGTATAACAGTGCTGCTAGGAACGATCTTTAAGACCTGCTAGGTGTGTTACGTTGGAGGAAGATTCCACCCCCTGAGTTGAAGAACCTGCGGACGAAGTGGACAAAGATAGTGTGCTACTCTGTATGGTGTGTTGGGGCATTATTTGAAACCTGATTCTACTGGCCCAGTGTGATTCATTCTTTGTGCATTGGATTGGATTCGACGATTCTGTTTTATATTCTGTGCATAAAATATTCAAGGTAATTGATACGACAACAGCAGCATCAATGCTAATATACTGCAAAATGATTGAAAGATTGTAGTTAGTGAGCAGAACCAACGTAAAATCAACAGCGGATTAGTGATAATGACATCGGAAAGCGACGGCAATGGTGACTTTCCTAGTCACAATCATCAGCCATTCTTCGTCAAAGCTCATCCAGTGGAAGCTAATCGCACTGTACAACAAACCAGGATGGATGAAAGTGGCAAACAAATATACGTTCCTTATCGCCTCGTGTCAGGGTTATCGAAGGAAATAACATTTGTGATTTTGGAAAGTTTTGTTACTCCCGTGAAACCCCTCCTAACGCTGATATAGTTTGCAAATTTACTGTGAATGATCGTCGCATCGGAACCAGTTTGGCCTTTATTCATGTTGGAGAGTGGGTTAGTATGGGTGGCTTTGCACACCCTTCGATAAAGAAGACCGTGAACACATTTGACCTCGTTAACAGATGGGTCAGTGAGCGACTTGTAAACAGACATTTTATGTTCCAAAGTGGTAAACATCGCCAATTGCGCGATTGTTCATAGAATTGTGCCTGGGATTTCCTAAAATGAAGGTTATTCTGATACTGCTTGATGAGCCTTGCTGGGCAATTAGCGATTCGTTTTTGTATGTTGCTCAGTTCGTTCTCGATTGTTGACGCTGCTACAGCGTTGATGACGATGATAAGCTCACTGGTGATGAACGAAACCAGCAGTATTCACAACTGTTGTGCGTTTTTTAGGGAGCTACGAGAGTTCTAGCTCAAAGCCAATCAATCATGTTGAGCGACGGAGATTTTTGTTTGGAAAAATCAATCGTTTCATGAGGACTTGGAACTGAAATGTCATATCATTTCCACCGGTGGCCTCTGTAACTTGAACCAGCGGCCAGGCAGGCCAAAGTGATTCACTTGAAACAGCTTTTCTCAATCTATGGGTGTCCTCAGCTGGCTCACGAACTTGGTCATGTTTTTTTTTTTAAATCAGATAAATTTTACACGATATTAGTAAAATTTATCTGATTTTAAAATTATGTTGGGATACCTCAAAATGAAATTGAACTAGCATAAGGGTTGATGCATATATTATGTCACGCTCTAGGGGGGGTCTAAGATTTTGTGACAAGCAATGCATTAGGTATAGGAAAAAACGTCACGATAGGGGGGGGGGATTTCTCCTCGATTTAGCGTGACATAATTAATGCATTACGGTTGAACAAGAACAAGAATACATAGGGCGGTATTGAAATCTTGCGTAAATTAATTTATGACAAACTGCCGTTTCCAGCTGTTTCATTCAATAGGACACCGTTTATTTTTAATTCATTCAAAATACACGCAAATTAATATTGTAAGTGTAAGATACCATTAACCAAGATTTATTTGTCAAAACATCAGTGGTTTGATAAAATACCTATCAGAAAAGTACAGTTTCTCACTGCACACTGAATAATATCAAACAATCACTACACGCTCAAAGCAAAAAAGGCTATTTTGCTACGCCTATTTTGATTTGATTTCAATGGCACAAATTTTCTTGGCAAGAAAAACAAGTATACAATGAATTCCGTGAGTGCTATTTGCTTCTTCCTCCCAGGTTTTTACTAGTTTAAACGACTTGAACTCCAAATCATTAAAAAATTGCGAAAATTAAAACAGAGCCATTTTGCATTTTAAAATCAGTTTGGATAGCCTAGGCCGTTAAGACTTTCTTTTGCCATTTATGGCATTTTAACCGTTCGTCTTTGCCAAAAAACTTACGTTGTCTTTACCTTAGGGTCAATTTGACCCCAAATTCAAATTATCATATCTCAGCGAAGGTGGAACGGATTTCTGAAATTTTGAATGTTTTGTAAAGTAAATTGAATTTTCTTTCAGTTTCAATTATCAAATTTTATTTTAGGGTGGATCTCTTAGAGGTCATTGTTAAAATATACTTCAAAACTACACACTTAAAAATAACTACTTTTACACGAGACGTAATCCATATTGGACGTAAATCATAGAACGTAAACAAACATTTCATGTAAAATTAAGTGTTCTCAAACCGAAACATCAGCTACTCGACGAAGAGAATGTTTGATTGAATTGATTTTCTCGTCTCTTTCAACTGATTCTTATGTCAAAAGGCCCACTTACATGTGTCGGTCTAAGAGAACCGAAATTTACATGACTTTTTAGTAGTGTGTATGAAAAGTTTATGACAGAATATATCTGCTTACTAGATGACGCTAAAACGAAAATGATCAAGTTGCATTATCTTATATAAACATTATATAACGCTATCTACAGATCCTGCTCATATGGATGGAAGACGGGATCAGTTGTTCAAGACCTATCTAAGTCATTCATTTTGAATTAATCATTTTGTCAAGCTTCTGCATTCATTTCCCATCAGATGTCACTGCTGTTGTTTGCGGTGACATGAATCGAAAATTACACATAATCTGTTTTCCGTTAATTGTTCACAGAGGACAGTGCAGTGCAAAACATGTATGGTACCTCTATATATGCATTTAGATTAACATCCAAAGGCCCTCCATTTTAACACATGCTGCACACAAAATAGCTCACCCCTCACAAATTTCCCGCCGATTTTTATGTATGGGGCGGGGCAGAAAGTATCTTTTGTGCAGAATATGAAAAAAATGAGGGGCTACAAACGTGAAACCAAATGCATATATAGAGGTACCAGACATGTTTTGTAGTGTCAGGTACTCTATTTCTACATGGCATGTTGAGAGATTGAGCTCGTGAGAGAGAATTTTCTTTCTCAAATTTGAATTTTTATGCTCTCTGGGAACTGGTAGTAAATCGGGTAAAACTGAATGGGTAAAAATCATTTTTATTTATTTGTTGCTTATTTTACAATAATTTCTGGGAAAAAAACAGAACAACAAAGTCCCTGACTAATTTCTTCATGTTGTCGTTCACTTTTTTTGACCTGAATATGCACCGAAAGCGAAATATTCCCACTTCTCTCAAACTCTATATGGGTATTTTTATCACTTTCTACCAGCGGAACAGCGCCATCTCTGTGTAAAATGGCCGGACGATATGATTAATTGTTTGCCCTAACTTGATACCTTGACTAGATAGAAGGTTTCCGTCGTCGGTAAAGTTGTTCATACGGACAACACATATCCGAAGGCCGTTCGCAATGCTGTTGTATTTAATATGGACTGTTTCAATTTGTAACTAGAACAGAAACGCACCCCTTGCAATGCTGAGTTGGAGTTTCATTATTCGAGCACTAGTTTGCACCATATTTGCAACTGGTCGACTATGCTGTTTTATTCATGGGCGGGCTTGAAACACGAATGGAACTCTGTTTCAATTTACTATGGATGTATTTGTCGATCTTATAATCTGATAGATGACAGACGGACAGGGGAAAACTAGGTGACGAAACGAAATCATATTCTGTAATTTTTCGGAGTCGGAAAATTGATCGAGCAAATAAATTTGCTTTACATCATAGACATCTCTCAAGACCCCAGATGACTTCTAATTTTTCCAAAGATATTCAGGTGATTAGAGATCTACAAAATCTTCTGTTGATATTTTTCAATACTTCTTGCTCATCAATTATTCTGAAGATCATATATTATCCAATAATTCAAATCGCGTCTCTCAGATATTATCTTATGATACCAGGTTGTCCTTAAATCCTCAGAATATTATTCCATACCTTCAGGTTAAAAAGGTACTATTCTTAAGGCATCCAACAATTCAAATTGCGTCTCTCAGATATTCTCTTATAATACCACGTAATTCAGAAATTATTCCAAAGACCTTCAGGTGATCAGATCAGATTTTCAAAGAAATATTTGGATATTTTTCAATACTTATGGATTATCAACTATTATTCAGAAGATCTTTAACTGACCAACATTCATATAACTTCTCTCAGACATCCTCTCATGATAGCAGGTGTCTCAGTAATTATTGCAAAGACCTTCAGGATATTTTTGTCAAGACTTCCTGGTTCAGTGACCACCCTGCATGTTTCGACAGCAGAATCGTCCGGAGCCTGTTCGCATGGTTACTCGTTACCTAATGCTGGATTACGTTGTTGTAATCATTTTGTTCCAGCAAACATTCTTGAATCCGAATCACCTTCTCCGTTCGTGCTAAAATCACCGATGCAAACAAAATTTGCACACGCACACATATGTAAGGATGAATACCAAACACCTTTGAAAACTGTGCGTTGCACGGATTGTGTTGTATTTTTATTTTTGACAGTTTCAAATTTTAAACCTGTCGAGCAGCTTGCAACAATTTTGAAACTCAGCATTGCGAATGGCCTAAGGTAAAAAGTTTAGTTAATAATTCACTCACCAGGTAGCGCTAGTCTGACATTCATTGTTTGCCCTAACATAAGGTTCCCGTCTTCGGCAAAATTGTTCAGATGGACAAGATCTATTTTATGGTAAACAGTTCAGCTCAGAATTGAATCACCAGGCGGTGCTAGTGTGGCAATAATTTTTCATTGTTTGCCCTAAGTTAAGATATGGACTAGATAGAAGGTTTCCGTCTTCGGCAAAGTTGTCCAATTGTATCCTAAGGTATAAAGTTCAGCTCATAATTCACTCACCATGTGGCGCTAGTAGGACATTAATTTTGAATTGTTTTCTCTCAGATAAACTATATAGAACACTAGCTGAGTGTGCCCGACCTTGCTCGGGATTCAATATTAGCTTGAGTTTATGCGCCAATTGAAAAAAAACATGCTTTATTGTACGTAAACTGAGGTACTGGAGGGCTCCTCTCGGGATTCTGTGACCGTGTGAAAACGATCGGGATACGAATCGGGCTGGGTGGGTTTCGGTGAACTACGATCGATATAACGGAACTGTCCGAGGTTGTCCCAACCCGTCGAACGGAACTGGCTCTCTAACGGTCAAGTTGCCCATGGAAAGCCTGTTTGTGTTATCTGGCCGAACTAATTCACCGATCAATCGTACTTAGTACGACAAACTAACGGA